CAAATTCAAACGAGTAGTACAGTTCCAAAAGTGACGACTCTTTCAAGCAAAGACAGTTTGCCTTCAACAACTCAGTCATTTGACCATGAAACGACTTTGTTATCAACCGAAAAAGATACAGAGCGAAGCTCATTTGCTCCAACTGAAAGTGGCACAACAACAAAGTACTATGACACAACTACTGAGCAATTTAAATCAAGCTCATTCAAACCCAGTGTCACTACTAATTACAGTGAAGGTGAAATTTCGACAACAGCACAGTCTGTTGATCGTGAAACAATTTTACCAGGTACAGAGAGAGCATACATCGACACTACCACTGAACAAATCAAAACTAGCACTTTCGGTTCAAAAGCAACTACCCTTTCGAATGAAGAGAAACAATCTACTTCTACTCAATCAATCAAACACGAAACCACTCTGTTGCCAACCGAAAAATCAGTTGCTACCGAACGTAGCTCGAGTGTTCCAATTGAAAGTTATAAAACAACAGAATATATCGACTCAACTACAAGTAGCTTATATCCCAAATCAAAGACACTTTCACCGGAAGATGGCATATTAACTACAACTCAATTTGTTACTGAATCGAAAACAACTCAATTACCTACAGAAAAATCACTTGTATCTGAAAGTATTGGCTCAAGAACCACCACTATTTCGAATGTGGATAAGATTCCATCAACTACTGAGTTTAATGAGCAGGAAGCGACATTTCTACCAACCGAAAAGTCTTATTCGACGGAAAGTGGAAAGATGTCCAAATATCCTGACACAACCACAGAACAATACAAAACTACCACTCTCGTTCCGAAAGTAACTACCCTTTCGAATGAAGAGAAAACTTCTGCCACTACTCAATCAATCGAACACGAAACGACTCTCTTGCCGACTGAGAAGGCATTGGCTACGGAACATAGCTCTAGTGTTCCAGGTGAAAGTGATAAAACAACCAAATATATCGATACAACTACTGAACAATTCAAAACAAGTAGCTCTTCACCTAAGCTCAATACGCTTCCACCGGATGATGAAGCATTCACTAGACCACAACTCGTTTCTGAAACTAAAAGAACTGAGTTGCCTACAGAGAGATCATTTGTTTCTGAAAGTGGAAGATCGACCAAAGATTTCGATACCACAACTGAACAGTTTAAGACAAGTAGTTTCGGTTCAACAGGTACAACAGGTACAACACATCGAATTGAAAAAACACATCCATCTTCCACTAATGTTATAGAAGAGTCAACCAAATCGCATGTTGTCACTGAACAAAGTTCATTTGTACCAACAGAGAGTGGTCAATTCACAACTACTACAACTTTTGTGGCTACAGAAGGAGCATTCACAACTGAGCAAAGCTCATTTAAGTCGATTGAAAGTGACGGAACAACCAAATTAATTGATACTACCACTGACCAAGTACAAACTATTCCTAGTGTAGAAAAAGTGCCATCCACAACACAATTTGTTGATCATGAATCCACTCTCTTACCAACTGAGAAGGTATTCTACACAGAGAAACCTACTACTCTTGCTTCAAAAACAACCACACTTCCAAGTGAAGAAAATGTGTCTTCTACGCAATTTGTTGGTCATGAAATGACATCTATGTCCACAGACAAATCGATGTTTACAGAACAAAGTTCGATTGCTTCATCTAAAAGTGAAAGAACAACTAAATTGGTCGATATTACTACAGAACAAATAAAAACTAGTACTTTAAAACCTAAAGTAAGTAAAATTTCTGATGATGGAAAAGTGACTTCCACGACACAATCAATTGAACATAAAACGACATTGTTACCCACTGAGAAAGAACTCATAACTGAACAAAATTCATTTGTTTCATCCGAAAAAGAAAAAACTACAGAATATTTCGATTCCACTACTAAAGCATTTGGAACAAGTACGTTTAGATCAAAGCAAACAACTGTCACCATTGATGAAATGCCTTCTTCCACTCAATTCATTGATATTGACCAAGAAACCACTCTGTTGCCAATTGAAAAATCGTCTGTTACTGAACGTACCATTGGCCCAATTGGAGGTGGTAAAACAACTAAATATGTCGATACAACTACTGAGCAATTTATAATGAGTAGCTCTTCTCCCAAACTCAAAACTCTTCCAATGGAAGAAGATATCTTCACCACACCACAATTGGTATTAGGAACCAAACCTACTCCATTGCCTACAGATCGTCCGTTTGTGTCTGAAAGTGGACGGTCCACCAAATATTTTGATACAACCACTGAACAGTTTAAGACAAGTAGTGCGGAACCAAAAGCCACAACTCTTCAGTCTGAAGAAAAACTTCCACCTACCACTCAATATGATGAACAAGAAATAACTACCAAAGAAGCTGTTGCATCAGAGCGAGGCTCGTTTGTGCCAACTGAAAGTGGTAGTACAACAACAGAAAAATACGAAACAAGTAGTTCGATTTCAAAAGCGACGACACTTTCGAGTGAAAAAGAATTGCCTTCTTCCACTCAATTCATTGATATTGATCGTGAAACCACTCTGTTGCCTACTGAAAGAGCAATCACTACTGAACGTAGCACATTTACTCCAACCGAAAGTAAAAAATCGACCAAACATTTCGATACCAAAACGGAACAACTCGAAACAAAAGTTACTACCATCGGTGTCGATGAAAATATTCTCACAACAACTCAAGCTATTGATCATAAAACCCCTCCAATTTCAACAGAGAAATCATTTGGCACTGATCGCAGCTTATACACGACGACGGAGAGCGAAATTACTACTAAATATTTCGATACAAGCTCTGCAAGTAGTGGCGAACCAATTTATACTACGACTCAAATTGTTGATCAAAAAAACTACTCTTTTGCCAACACAAAGGGCGTTTACCACTGAGCACAGTACTTTTGTTCCAAC